ATTTTGTTTTATTTACGAATTAAACAAAAAGAGAGAATCTGAGATATTTAAATAAGATTTAAATATCTTAATCAATTATGTGTCGGAATTGATTGGGATTGGCATTTGAATTAATATTAAATATTAATTAAATAGTTTAATTAATCATTTAATGTTACTTTAATTTGAAATTCATTATTCAAATTAATTGTTGAATTAAAATGAAGAAAGTCAAAATGTTGACTTTCATCTAATGGAAAAATCCATGTTAGTGGAATTTTGAGGTGTGTTTAACCAAACTTGCATGTTTGCCAAATAAACCCCCACAAGTTTGAGTGGAATTTTGAGTGTCAAAATTTGGTTAACTCAAACATGCATGCTTGCCACATAATCCCAAACATTTTAGTGGAATTTTAAGTGTCAAAATTTGGTGATCTCAAATTTGCATGAACATGCAAACATGACTCTTTAAATAGAGTGATCATGATACATGGAAGGTCTTCTTCATCTTGGTGAAAAACTTTGAGAAAAACCTCTCACAAACACTCTCTTCACATATACAAAATCCCTCCCAAGTTTAATCACTCACCGGATTCCACAATCCAGTTCTAAGGTCGGAGGATAGTGGAGAAGACACTAGTGGTGGTTTGAAACCGATTCGTGAGGCAAAAGGAGTTTGAACTACAAAAGGTTAGTATTTAAACTCATTAAGTTTTAATACTTATGAACATGCTAGTTATTTACAATAATTGATGTTCTAAAAGTGCCTAAGATCCAAATTGCTTCCGCATGTGTTATATTAACACTATCAATAACTTATACCAATTATATTTAGATATTATAACATATCCTAAATATATTTTTTATTAATTTGAATCTCATTCAAATTTTAATATATTTTTATTTAATGTATCAAAATACATTAATTGATTTAATATTTAATTGTATCAAATATAATAAATATGTTTTTCCTTTTTAATATATCTAATATATTAAATATTAATTGAACCCTTCAAATTTATATATTTTTTCTCTATTTATATTTAACTTATCTAATATATTAACGGATTTATAAAGAGAGATTAAATATTTCTTGGTCCAGTTTTATACAAACTCATTGTATAGGATACCCCACTTACATGTCTCCACATGAATGATTTGGATCAAATCATTTGAACGATTACAAAGTAGACCGTATCAATAGTTTTACTAGGATAAGGCATCCAACGTTATCCATATACTATAGACTCTTTAGGTTATTACTTGAACCAGATCCTCTTGTATGTCAACCACATACTGTTCAAGATTACATCAATAACCTTGGATTTTCATACCATGGATAACAATTAATTTACCAATAAAAGAATATAAATTATTATTAAAAACTAAATAATTAATTACGAGGCTTTAGGGCATAAATCCCAACCATCTCCCATTTGCACTAAAATGAGACATGTGTTCTAGGGCATACTCTATATCCAACATGTTCTCCCACTTACCCTAAACAAGATGAGACATGTCTCATAATCCTAGACATTCTAGATGACCCTCAAACACTTTAGCCTAGAGAGTCATTTTATATAAATCAAAATAATTATCATGAAAAGTCATCTTGATTACTACCACGATGCTTTCTTTCTCAATATCATTCTTTATAAATTGATCTTTTATAATTTCCTTAATATTAATCTTTGTATCACTATCATCACAATGAAAGTGACAAACTAAATCACATCTGAAACATCTTTCAAATGTTTAGGAAATTATTATAGTCATAGAAGTCATTTTGTGCTTTAAAAGCAAAAAATATTCCGCTTGTAAACCATACTTCACAATCTAAGGTAAAATTGATCTTAACATAAATTTCTCTAAATTTATGTAACTAATGTATCACTAAAGATCAAATTTTTAACTCCATACACAAAATAAAAAATTCTCAGCATCCATCGATACTCTGAGACAACTTTAATTTTTCACTGAGGGTCATACCATTAGTTTAACTAATATAATCTAACTAACTGTATATTTAACGTTAATTCTCATCTACGCATTAATTGTCTCCCACTCAAGAAAGATAATTAATCATACTCTCAACATTTGAGGTTACTTAGGATACTATTCCTCTACTTCATATTTCAATGATCATTATCATTATTTGAAGTCTTGCATCAAATATTTGACAACAATTTTGTCAATATAATAGATATGAGACAATATTAACGTTTATCCTTAAATCTTTATTTTTAGGACATACAAAATTATTCCAAATCATTTATTTGGAATTGGTTAGGTAGTCATCTATTTATATGAGATTGAAAGATTACTGAGATATAACACATGCGGAAACAATTTGGATCTTAGGCACTCTAAGTACATCAATTATAATAAATTAGCTAGCATGTTCAAAAGCATTAAAACTCAATGAGTACTTTTGTAGTTTAAATTCTTTTTTCCTCACGAACCGGTTTCGAATCACCACTAGTATCTTTCCTATTATTCTCCAACCTTAGAATGGGATTGTGGAATACAACGAGTGACTTGATCACTCTATTTGTAGAGTGATATTTGCATGTTCATGCAAATTTGAGATTACCAAATTTTAACACTCAAAATTCCACTCAAATTTGTGGGGTTTATTTGGCAAACATGCAAGTTTGATTAAACCAAATTTTGACACTCAAGATTTCACTCAAATTGGTGGGATTATGTTGCAAGCATGCAAGTTTGTTAAACCAAATTTTGACACTCCATTGTTATCACATTTTTGCGCTCAATATGTTTTCCTCGCTTATGGCTTCTTGGTTCTTTTGAATTTGCAATTGCTCCATTGTTATCACAATAAAAAGTGATAGGCAGATGCATATTTGGAACGACTTCTAATTCAGTTAAGAGCTTCCTAAGCCATACTGTCACGACCCGATTTTTTAGGCTTCTAAAAAACCGAACCATGACTAAAAAGACGAAATCGAAAACAAACAAGAAGAAAAGAAAAGAAAAGTAAAGGAAAGTAAAAGGTAAAAATACCATTTAGTTAAAAAAAAATAGAGAAAAGTTTTGTTTCAAATTAATAAAAAAAAAATTACAAGTATAAAATGAAATACAAAAGACTCTATAAGACCGACAAGGGACTGACGCTCCGGAACGACACCTCTCTGTGACAGTGCAGCTCTCGAACACCTCCCCACTTCGACCGGTACCTGAAAAAAAAGAAGGACAAATGGGGTGAGTATAAAAATATACTCAGTAAAAAACGTACTTGTAGGCTCTTAATCGCATCCAAGTTTAGGAGAGAACCACTAACTATACTCTAGACCCTAGAGTCTCAATACTCTCAGTACACAGATCGGGGTGGAAGGACTTAACCTTTGAAGCGGTATTTCAGCGTTTGAGGATGAGGTGCTCCCTCATAACTACATGTACCCCTCGTACAACCCAGCTAGAACTAGTCACTGCATGGTCAACATCATTCCACAGGACGGACCCATCATGCAGGCGACCTTGACCCACTCGGGTGATCAACATCTTACTATAAGACGGATCCCCATGCAGAGTAGTTGATCTACCACCGAGTAACACCTTCCCTAACAGGCGTCTTGCCAAGCTCAACAGTACCACACCGGAGTGGGAAGGAAAGAGTAACACCTCCCTGATTGGCGTCTCGCCCAGCTCAACGATACCACAACGAAGTAGGAAGGGAAGTGTAACATCTCCCTAAATGGCGTCTTGCCTAGCTCAATGGTACCACACCGAAGTAGGAAGGGGAGGGTAACATCTCCCTAACTAGCATCTTGCCTAGCTCAATAGTACCACACTGGAGTAGGAAGGGAAGCGGGGCATACTTGAACGCAAAACCAGATAATGTTGGCTAAGAGGTCATCTCTCTACACCTCGGGGTCCTAATGTGGTTCTCTATATCTCAAGGGTAGTTAAAACTATTGAGTTAGGGGTCCTAGCTTCCAGATTCACTCAATCAAGACTTCCAAGTCCATAACAATCTAGGGTTAAAGGGTCTCTCCCTCTAAGTGTCGCTCACGACACCATGGACCGTAACATTGGGAGGGTCCCCTAACTAAACCCAACTCAATCCCTACAAGAGTTCACCATAGGCGTAGAACAACACTACAACTTATCAATCATATCATAAGTTCACACAATCATTCAATAGGAGTTTATGTATGATTAACAATGCATTCAATCATACAAGCTCAACGAGGCGGTAACATCCATCGACATCCAAAGCGCAGATTCACAAATTATTCAACAGAAGTTCATGTACAATTAACAATGCATACAATCATACAAGCTCAACGGGGCAATAACATCCATCATTACCCGGAGCGCAGATACACAAATTATTCAATAGGAGTTTATGTATGATTACAATGCATACAATCGTACAAGCTCAGCGGGGTGGTAACATCCATCAACACCCAGAGCGCAGATACACAAACTCTCCCTTCCGACAACATAGTATGAACAGATAAAAGCAGTAGTAAGATAGACTAGCAAGCATACCGACAACATAGTATGAACAGATAAAAGCAGTAGTAAGATAGACTAGCAAGCATACCGACAACATAGTATGAACAGATAAAAGCAGTAGTAAGATAGACTAGCAAGCATACCGACATCAAGTACGAAATCTCATCAAGGCAGGAAGTCCAACATATATATTTTTAATTCCCTAAGTATAGAGGATCATTAAATCTAGCCACCCAGGGATAATTTGCTCTAGCATGCATGCAAAACCAAGCGCACCCTACAAGTATTACTTCCTAAATCCGTGTGGATACTTACAAGTATGTCGCGTGCCTTCCCGAGCTTGATTACAGTCGTAACAGAGTTCAAAATTACAAATTATCTATTCAAACACCTAGTTCATAGTAAAATAGGATTAGCACTAGAATCGGGACGAAAAACGGGTGAAAACAGGACAATGCGCGGGTGAAAACGATTAGCACTAATTCGAGTTACGCGCGGTCAACGCGGGCAATGCGCGGGCAGAGGCGCGTTTTGAACCCCAGCAGACGTAGACTTACCCCTCAAATTTTCTGGGCATGACACGTGCGTACAGGGACTGGCGGTAGCTTTCGGGTTGGACCGCGGGTCGTTGGGTTGCTTCACCGAGTGCGGGTCGGATTTTCGGGTCAACCGTCGGATGCATGTCAGCGGAGGCGCCAGACGTGTCCCTCCACCAGTTGCTCGATGCATGTCCTCCCGTTCCGGCGGCCGCGTGTCTGTCGCCGATAGCCTAAGTCATCCAATTTCCAGATTCCGGTCAAATTCTATATCAACCTATTTATTTAGATTTTTCTATCTTCAAAACCGTAACTCGAATTAAATCGATTCCTTCACGAGAATTCAAGATCTCAAGTCCACCTATCTAGATATATTTTTATTGTAATTTTTTTGATACTCACAGCGCTTAATAAATGAAGTTAAAAATCGAGAAAAATTCTATTTCTTACCGAAGTAGGACAGTTTCTCGATTTTATTTTCCGATGCGATTTTTGGCCGCGTTTCCTCTAAAAACTTGCAAGACTCCTCACCTAAAGTGTTGCCACTAGATTATTAAGGTCTAAATCATCTAAAACTCCCGGATATATGGTGATGCGATTTTTGGCCGCGTTTTCTCTAAAAACTTGCAAAACTCCTCACCTAAAGTGTTGCAACTAGATTATTAAGGTCTAAATCATCTAAAACTCCCGAATATATGGTGAAATCTTGAAACAAGAGAGATCACGGACTTACCTCACGTTCTTGCCCGTTTCTTGCCGGAAACGAACAATCCAACGCTCAAACCATTCCTCTTGATACTCTAGTTAGCTCTAGTAGGAGACCTCAGATTGAGGGTGCTTCAGTTCAGGTTTGGGCGTTTCTCTATCCTTCTTCTTCCTCTTCTTAAAAACCCTAACTCTTCCTTTCTCTTTCTCTCTCTATTTTCTTTTTCTTTTCTTTTTTGTTTTCTTTTCCTCTTCTTCCTTTCCATTTTATTTTATTTTATTTTATTTTATTTATCTATTACTAAACTCCCTTCCAGGTGCTTAATGAGGAAGATGGCAGAATGACCAAATTACCACTCCAGTTGACTTTGACCATTTTTCTAATTTTCCACCATTTTTCTTTTATATTTTTCTTGAGTTTCTTAGATATGTCTAAGCATTTCTCTCTTCTATCTCATCTCAAAATTCATCCTCTAAGATTCTCAATAAAATCTTGAAAGTTTAACTTATAGGAGAAAACTTAGGTTTTAAGTTTCTGGTCGGAGTTCGGGTGTTACATATCCTATGAATAGAAATAATTTTGAACGATGTTCTAATTTCTTAGAGTTTTGCACTAGCACATGTGCTGGGCATCCCCAAATCCTAAAGTGATGTAAACTACCTTTACGCCCTCTCCATAACTCATAAGCTGTTTCTGAAACACTTTTAGAAGGAACCATGTTCAAAATGTATGCAGTAGTCTCCACTGCATATCTCCAAAATGAATTAGGTAATTGAGCGAAATTCATCATAGATCGAACTATGTCTAACAGAGTTCTATTTCTCCTTTCTGATACACCGTTCTATTGAGGCATACCAGGGGCTGAGAGTTGAGACGTTATTCCATGTTCTATCATATAGTCCTGGAATCTTAAGTCCATATACTCTCCACGTCGATCTGATCGAAGTGTTTTAATAGTTTTTCCTAATAGATTCTCAACCTCAGTCTTATACTCTCTGAACTTTTGAAAAGCTTCGGACTTGTGATGTATTAGGTAAATATAGCCGTACCTTGAATAATCATCAATAAAATTGATGAAATATTCATACCCTCCTCGTGCTTTGACATTCATTCGACTACAAAGATCGTGTGCACGAGTTCTAAGATTTCTTTGGTTCTATAACCTTTTTTGGAAAAAGATCGTTTAGTCATTTTACCCTCAAGACAGGACTCACGTGGAGGTAAAGAGTTGTCTTCTAACTGATTTAGAAGTCCCCTTTTAACCAATCTCTCAATACAGGACTCATGTGGCCTAGTCTTAAGTGTCAAAGATAGGTATTAGGAGAAATCTTTTGTCATTTATTTTGAGTTTTAGCTGTTTTAAACATCACGGTATTTAAAACAGCTTTTGTTTCGCTCGGTTTTAACATATATAAGTTGTTTTCTAGTTTTGCAGAACAAATATGAACACCTCTTTTGCAAATGAACACTTCATTGATTTCAAAAGATACTTTATACAATTGTTCTAATAAACAAGAAATAGATATTAGATTTCTTTTTATTCGAGGAACATAAAGTTCATTATCTAATATAATGAATCTATTTCCAAAAAACAACTTTAAATTTCTTACTGATCTTGCTGAGACAACTTCTCCTATTCCAACCCTAAGTGTTATCTCGCTTTCCGCAAATATTGTCCAGGAACTAGTTTCTTGAAAAAAAAAAAAAAGCACAAATATGATTAGTGACGACCCTTGAATCTAGTATCCAGGTTGAGTGATCATACTCTACTAAACATATTTCTACAACTAGTCAATCATATTACTTTGTTGTGCCTTTTTAACTTTCTTCTCTACAAGGTATTTTGGGCAGTCACTTTTCCTGTGCCTATTTTCATTGCAATGGAAACGTTTTCCATTATCTGCATTTTGAACCTTGTGTTTGCGGTCAGTAGAAATCTTATCTTTCCCCTTGCCCTTTTTGTCATATGCATCTCAAACTATTCGGTTTGCATTTGAGCCGGAGTTTAGGGGACATTCCTCAGTTAAAACAAACCTCAAATCATCATTTGCAAGTATTGTGTTTAGGTTCGATTTCCTTGTTGCGTAATTGTCGTCGTTTAATTTCTTAGAAGCGAGTAATTGTACTATTGAACTTGACATGCTGAGATTTAAAACAAATTTTATTAGTGAATTGACTTAATCTTTTTTTTTTTTTAATCCACTCAGATTTAGCAAATGTAATAATGTACCCAAAAATTATTAATTTTCAACGATACTTTAGTGAGTTAGAGAAACTGCTACGGAGGGACAGTCAATCACACCTTCACTAAACCAAGACATTCTTGACTTAAACACTAATCCCAGAATAACTCTTATTCTATAGTCTTTTAGTATAATTCTGACCGGGTAGTTACTCTAAGTCAACATGCAGGCGAAACATGGGAATCTCACGATGCAACCTAGTGGTGGAGACCATTGGATGTGTTGATAAACTTCCTTCTCCCACTTACTATAAATACTTTCTCTATTCACCTTGTTATTAACTCATGCAAATACCTTCCGAATGGAGGCCGCTCCCAGGGCGACAGGAGGATGAACATGAATCTTACGGTGTGAATTTTCCAGAGAGCGTAAAAAGAAAACAATGTATCTCATAAAATTTTCCTCCCACTAAGTATTTTAGACAGTTGGGTATATTATTACTTCGGTATATTCCGGCTAATTAAATATAACCTAAGTCTAGGTGATTTTTCCAAGTATGACATTTATACTAGATTTTTACCTTTGATTTCTAGGTGATTTTTCATTTTTTTTTCAAAATTCTTACATCACTCATGCATGCTCATAAAATTGGGCTAACTAAGCTAAATACTGGCCCGATCTCCAGGTAGCAGGTGTTCAGTAAATCATATTTACCTTATTGTGCCTTTTCGGTTTTCTTCTCTACAAGGTATTTTGGGCAGTGACTTTTTTCGTGCACGTTTTCATTGTAATGGTAACATTTTCCATTATCTGCATTTTGAACCTTGCGTTTTGCGGTCAGTAGGAATCTTATCTTTCCCCTTACCCTTTTTGTCATATGCATCCCAAACTGTTCGATTTGTATTTGAACTGGGGTTTAGGGGACATTTCTCAGTTAAAACAAACCTCAAATCATCATTTACAAGTATTGTGTTTAGGTTTGATCTCCTTGTTGCGTAATTGTCGCTGTTTAATTTCTTAGAAGCAAGTAATTTTACTATTGAGCTTGACATGCTGAGATTTAAAACAAACTTCTATTAGTTAATTGACTTAATCCTTTTTAATCCAATCAGGTTTAGCAAATATAATAATGTATCCAAAAATTATTAATTTGCAATGATACTTTTGTGAGTTAAAGCATCTGCTACGAAGGGGCAGTCAATCACTCCTTTACTAAACCAAGACATTCTTGACTTAAACACTAATCCCAAAATAACTCTTATTCCTATAGTGTTTTAGTTATCGCCACTTTGGTCAAGAAGATACTAACTCTTAGTAATTCTTTGTAAGTGTGACCCGTCATTTTCAGACCTTAGAGATCGACCCCAAGAATGCTATCGAATGAATAAGCCAAAGTTGGGAATGAACCTAAGAAATCCTATCCATTTCTGGAGTTTATGTTGTTTCGACTCCCATGTTACAACCCTCCGAATGGGTAGTTCCTCTAGGGCAACATGCAGGTGGAACATGGGAATCTCACGGTGCAGCCTAGTAGTGGAGACTATAGGACGTGTTAATATACTTTCTTCTCCCACTTAGTATAAATACTTTCTCTATTCACCTTGTTATTGACTCATGCAAATACCTTCCAAATGGAGGCCGCTCCTAGGGTGACACAGGCTGAGCATGAATCTCATAGTGTGAATTTTTCAGAGAGCGTAAAAAGAAAACAATGTATCTCATGTACTTTTTTTCTCCCACTAAGTATTTTAGACGGTTGGGTATACTCATTACTTAGGTATATTCCGGCTAATTAAATATAACCTAAGTCTAGGTGTTTTTTCCAAGTATAACATTTATACTTGATTTTTACGTATGATGTCTAGGTGATTTTTCCTTTTTTTTTTAAAAAAAAAAAAAATCCTTACATTATTCACCCATGCTCATAAAACTGGGCTAAGTAAGCTCAAGTATTGGCCCGATCTCCAAATAGTAGGTGTTCCATAAACTGTCAACTTAAGTACCTCCAGCCTTAGACAAGATCGTGCCAGGTGAGATTTCTTGTAACTGTAGTTTTACAAGATATCGACGTATTTTAACTATTAAAATTGATCGCACTTGGTTGTTAACCATAAGTGAGCATACATTTATCTTTGTTATAGATTTAAACGTCTATCTCGTTTATGACGTTGAAAATAACCTATAACATGCATCTAACATGCTTTATATAACTATTATATAATCATCTATTTCATGCAATAATATAACAATTTTTATCTATCACTCATGGAGACCTATAAGATGCATACTATACATTATAACACTTATAGCATACTTTGTAATGTATGAAACATGCTTAGCCTATGGTGGGATTTTAAATCTATATGACATACTTTATGCATATACATTTTCTATTTAATTTAAACATACATTCATAATGCATAATTAATTAAACACACTAAAGTGGATTGGTTTTGGCATTTTAAAGCAAGCAATTAACTAAGTTATTACATTAATAATTAAAAATAACATGAACTGCTCTCGAGGATCACGAAATGGCCGAACCAACCCTTAAAACCGTTGAATCGAACCCCAACTAGCAGAAAAATACCCAAACGGCCTCTGGCATCTTCTTCTTCGGTTCATCTTGCTATCTCTTCCATTTTCGATCAATTACAACCTAAAATAGACTCTAATGACTACATAAAAATTATAGATCTTTCTTCACTCATTAAGGCCTACATATTAGGTCAATTACAATAATTGTTTCAAATGGAAGCATAAAAAATGCCAAAAACCATAAACATCCACTTTAGCAACCACAATTTTCATTCTGAAATGGTATCCACCATGCTCAAATTAATGTAAATAAAGTGCCTAAAGCTTGCTCTAATACCAATGGATGGTGTTAATATAACACCTGCGGAAGCAATTTAGATCTTAGGCACTCTAAGTATATCAATTATAATAAATTAGCTAGTATGTTCAAAAGTATTAAAACTGAATGAGTTTGAATACTAACCTTTTGTAGTTTA